ACGCAGGGCCAATCCAAAGACAGTTTCTGGACCTTCATTTACATCTAGGCACGCAGGGCCAATCCAAAGACAGTTTCTGGTCCTTCATTTACATCCAGCGAGAGGCCAAGTGAGTTTTTGATAGGACCACTGTCCCAAAGCCCTAATTGCAAGAGGTGGAGGCCGAGTCAGGTGTTTTGGGGACGAAACGTCCCTCTCCCTGTACCCCTTTATCTCTGGGCCCCCATGAGACTTTTCACCGGCCAGCTCTCTCCCCATACAGGGTACTTCTTTTGCACCTTCAATAAAACTACACACACCCTTGCTGCCTCTTCTAGGTGTCTTGACCAGTTCTTTGTTCTGGACACCAAGGACAGGGAAAGAAACCCCAGGACTCTCCCGTCCGGCAACAGAACCATTCTACTTCCACTACCTTCCAAGAGATGGTGACCACAGGTACAGAAACGTCACCACCACACTGGAAAGGCTGCCAGCGCCATCGGAGACTTCTCTCTTCTTTTTCCTTTTGGCAGCACTGGGGACGGAACCCAGGGCCTCTCACGTGCAGGCAAGCTCTACCACTGGGCCACACCCAGCCCATGGGGCCCCTCACCTCCACAGGCCTGCACGCCACTCGCTAGACCGATGGGACAAACACAGCAGCTGTGCCTCTACCCCAGAGGGCAGCAGGGAAGGAAGCGCGGGCCCGTGGCGCTGTGCTTGCCTGGAGGGGCGTCTCGCCCAGCAGAGGGGAGTCTTCACCAGACGCAACCCTGACATCGCGCTGCTTGGTTCTACGCGCACGACAGTGGAAACCATCATTTTCTGAAAAATCTGGAAAGGGCAGAGGGATGACCAAAAGGACCAGTTGCTCACAATCGAGTTCAGCGTCCAAGGAGATGCGCATGGATGCTCGGCCCCCTCTCCTTCCTCCCTCTCCGGTCTCATCTTCCACTGATTCCAAGGCGCACATTTTCCCTACATACTCTGAAATGGGGACGTTTACGATCGGTGGGCCTGAGGGACAGCACTTTTCTCTCCAAAATGGGGCACTACAGTGAGAACTGGGCGCGCGTCGGGGCGGAAGCTGAGGGCGAGTGCGCCTGTGCCCACGTTCTCACACGGTTTACATCGTGCTGCTAAATTACTCTCTGAAAACTGCTGGAGCCCAGCTCGCCTGAGCGCTGCACTTAGTACAGTTCCAGGAAGGATTAGTTCTGTTATTTCGAGCAATTCTGACACTCAGTTAGCCATCCTGGAACAGGCAGCACAATGCAAGAGAAACGCAACGATGATGCGGAAAACTGCCCCTTCCTAGGACAGCGCTTATTTCGAAACAAAATACACCGATACACAGAGCTCTGCTAATGACTGCTGGCTTCCTACTAGGCAGCAGCTGTCCTGGCTGCATCTTGCCGTGCTCTCGCTGAGCAGGGGGCTCAGCAGGCCCGGGGTGAGGGCCAGGCGCGGGCAAAGACAATGACGCCAAGCAGGTCTCACAGGAACAAACCCGAAGCCTCCGCTCGGGCCCTGCAATTCCCACGTCTGTGCCCTCTGCCGTGCCCACCCGCTCCCTAACTTGCCAATGCCCCTGCCTCCCTGCAACACGCACGCAGCGGCTGGGTACACACCATACCAGAAAGTTCCCAAGAGCGGTGGAAAGGGTGTGGGTGAGGCCCGAGGGACCCCGGCTGGGTCCTGGCTCTGTCCTGGGCCTGGCTGTGCGGACGTCCCCACCGCACAACACCGTGAAGGCGGGGCAGGGGTCTTCTGGGGTGGGCCCCACTCCGCTCCAGCCCCAGGGGGCCAGGATGTGGGATGCTGTAAAAAAAGCAGCCCGCGTGCCTTTATTTACTTCTCTTGGTGCTGGGAGTGGAAGTGAGCTTGGTGCCTGCTGGGCACGGGCTGTGCGGCAGATCTCTACCCCGGCCCCAGGCCTTCCGCTTTAATCTGCTTCTGGATGACATGTTGGTTTTGTCGTTTCAAGCAGCAGTAAAGGAAGCATGCAAGATTCTGTTTGTTTGTTTGCTGTTAGTTTTCAGGTCAGGAAAGGGATTTAAAAAAGAAGAGCCTGACCTGAATGCCGCTTCAAATATCCTCTGCTTCGAAATCCACGTCACATATTCTTGGTTTCTCTTCAGATCAAACAAATCTTTCTCCTTTTACTAAATCCGAGTCATTCTCCATGCCAGAGACTCGCTGGCATGACAGGGGCCTGCCCCGGCACAGGGCTCCTGAATCTTGGTAACAACGCTACCTGCGCTGTTTCCTGCAGGGGGTGGTGGGGCTTCCTCCAGCTTCATGGTCTACTCGGCTTCTACTTAACCCTCTGCAACCAAACACTGACTTTTTCATTTCAGACACTGTACTTTCCTGTCCTAGATTTTCAGTTGTTGGTTCCCTTTTCTCCCCAAGACAGGGTCTCACTATGCAGCCCAGGCTGGCCGTGAACTCTCAGGAATCTTCTTGCCTCAGCCTCCCGAGTGCTGGGATTTTAGGCACGCGTCCCCACGCCAGGCTCAGTGGTTCATTTTTAGGAACAGTTCCCACTCTCTCCTGAGATTCCCGTGTCCACTCACCATGACCATCTTTCCCACAAGCCCATGGACACAGCGGCTGCCTGTGGCTTTCTGCTCATCCACACCTGGGTCATCCCTACTGCTCTTGGGGCACATTATTTGTTTGTTCGTCTGTTCCTTGAGGATCCAGTTTTCTGCCTCTTAGCTAGTCTCGTGACTTTTACTCCATGTGGGACGCTGCAGACGAAGCGCTGTCAGGGCCTGGACTGTTTCCTCCCGTAGAAATCTGAGTTTTGTTTGAGAAGCGTCTCTGAACCTTCAGGCTTGCTTGGTCTGTCTTAGCGTTCATTAAGGTGACCCGCTCTGATTTGCTCCCCCGTCCTGCAGTTTCCCCCAACTCCGACACACAGTACCCCCTTGCCAGGCCCCCTCTGCGGCCCTGTGCCCCCTGCCACTGCACCCCATGCTCTCCTTCTGCTTTCAGCCCGACTCCCAGAGAAGCTTTTTCAATAAGTCTGCGCGGGGCAGCAGCAGGCAGCGGGCGAGTTGCCATGGTAACCAACCATTTCTGCCGAACAGCTGGAATCCATCACTGATGACTTAGAGAACAATGCCCTGCTCGGGTTATGACAGCACCAGCCACAGGCAGAGGTCGGAACAAAGCGGCTGATGAGGTGGTTTTCCCAGTACGGCCCATTGCAGACGGGCGGGGGTCCCTGGGGAACGCAGGGCCCTCTGCTCTGCTCCCGCGGGCAGCTGTGTCACTGTGCTTCAGCAGCCGGCACTGAGCCCACGGCCCCCAGGAGTCGTCCCTGGCCCACTGCCAGCTCTGCCACCTTTCTTAGGGAACGGCTCCCTGAGGACAGGCCCCAGGGACTCGGAGGGCACAGAGTCCGGGGCAGGGGCTCGTGAGCTGGTGAACTGCAGCCCAAGTTGGCAAAGTCTGTGGCGATCAGAAGTTACTTAGAACCCCGCCATCGATTTGTGCATAAGAACTGCAGTCCTGGATTACACCGGGCCGGCAGCCCCTTTCAGACCAGGCCCATCTCAGGGCTACTCGGTGGTGAACTTGGAAACCGGCTAGCTCGAGGGACACAGGCACTGCGCGGCTCTCGGGTGATGGAACCCTGGCGAGCAGGTCCCACCCCTCACCGCAGGCTCTGCCTTCGAGCCCTGAACACGGAGAAGTGAGCAAGCAGCCAAGGCCCACCCGGTCCAAACCCCGGTGTAATGGGTGAGAGAGCTGCTCAGGGCGGTCACACTGCGGCCGGGCTGCGGGAAGGCTCAGCACCCAGCGCTGGGGTTCTCGCCTTCGCCTGTGTCCCTCGGGCTCCTAGTGGGGACGGCATCTCCTCGCTCCTGTGGGTGACCTGCCTGAGCCCCTGGAATTTCCTTCCCTCTGCTGGAGAGCTTACAGGCCTATGCAGGTGAGGGTGCTGTCTGCTTTTCTTGACTTACTGGGGTTACTGCTTTTCTTGACTTACTGGGTTCACTTCATTACAACTCTTGATGTAATGAAGGTGACTTCTGACCTCCAGTGTGAGATGAAAGGTCAGTGCACGCCAGGCTCGATGCCCTTGGGTGACCCATGCCCGCTGCCCTGCGGGTAAGGGAGGCCGAGGCTCCCTGCTTCCCATCTTCCCACCCACGGCTCCACGCGCCCTTCCCGCAGTCACCCCAGAGGAGCCCCCTGGCCCCCAGGGCACCTCGGAGGGCGGCACTGGAAGGCACCCTGCGGGTGTACACGCACCTTTGCATAGGCGGTCGTCTTGATAAACCACTGCCTGAGGAACCTCTGCTCCACCTTTGCGCCCGAGCGCCAGGAACAGCCGTGCTCATCCACCTGCTCGTTGGCGAGCACTGTCTCGTCCACCGGGTCCCAGTTGACCAGGGCCTGTGAGGACAGAGGAGACAAATGATGCAGCCTGTGGAAAGTCCTCGGAGGGTCCCTGGGCCCGAGGACACTGGCCCGGGGAAGGCGTGGTGTGTTGGTTTGGGGCTTATTTTGCAAGGGGAACAACATAATACAGGACACATACTTCATATGATTATATATAAGTCACCCAAAGAACAGTATACAAAAGAGTGCAGGAAATCTGTCCACACACTAAGACCAAGGAATCCAGCTGAGGGCCTGGATCCCACAACAATGTCCTACATGAGTTGAGCTGAATACCCAGAGCTCATAACAATGCCTCCCATGAATCCAACTGGAGGCCCAGAACCCATGACAGCGTCTCATGCAGACCTGTTTCACAGATCTGCTGGGAAGGCCCAAAGGTCAGTGGTGGAATCTACAAAGTCTGTGCCAGCAGGAAGAAGGATCTGTGCTAGCAGGCTGAGGGATCTGCCCTGGAGCCAGGAACTGATGCTCGGAAGAACCACAACTCCCCCAAAAGGTACCACGGCCACTGTCGGCAACAGTGAGGTCCCGAGCTCCTCCGATGATCAGGATGGCCGAGTTCCCATCAGGGAAACCAACGCAGCAAGCTTTTCCAGGAGGCCGGCAGTGCACCATCTTCCCCTCCGGAACCAGGAAGCGATGCTCAAAGTGAGGACCAGAGCTCTCCAAAGTGAACTGAAGGCATTCTCAGTGCCAGTGAGGTCCCGAGCTCCTCGGGGGATGAAAACAGCCAAGTTCATCAGGAAAGCCAGCTCCCCACAGCCTCTCTCAGCTCCCAACAGCCTGCCTCTTCTTCTCCAGGTCTGCCTCTTATGCTGCTGGCAACAGTCCTCAGGTGGGCCTCCCACACCCAGCACCACTCCCTCAGTTCAGCTGGGGGTTACAAGTTGACCACCAGTTATCAATCCATTACACGTGGCCTGGGGATGGTGTGGCCCGGGGAGCAGGAGCCAGGCGTGCAGAGCACGAGGACCCTGCATGTGACTACATCGTGCAAGGAAGCGGGGGAGCGCCAGGCAGGTGTCCCACACAATGTGGCTGTCGTCTTGAACAGGACAAACTCACAGGATTTGAAATTTAGTAAAAAGGGAAAAAGAAGAAAAAAATGATACCTCGTTAGAGTCCCGCACAATGGGACATTATCATTTTAACACAATGGCTGACTTGACAGAGCGATTACCACGGGCCAGGCTCCTTTGAATCTCCCAGCACCTGCCTGTCTCCATCCTGCAGTGAGGGCTGTGATGGAGAGAAGCGAGATGACCACCCCAGGTCCCTGTCAGTGAGGGCCAGGCCGGGAAGGAGGTCAGGTTTCTGGAGACCAAGTCGTTTTAAAAAACTTCCATGTAAATTCAGGGGGAACACGAAGTGGGTAAACCTTCAGTGTGCAACTGCTAAATTTCTACACAGGTGAGACCCTCATGCACCATCGCTCCCGTAGAAGAGTCCCAGCACCCCAGAAAACCGGCCCACTTCCTGTCCATCAACACCACTGCTTCCCCCAGGAGAACGCTGAGCTCGGTCTCCATGGCTTCACCTGACTGACAGGACCTGGGCTCCCCCAGGATGATTCTCCCCACGCAGTCCTGGGCAGCCTCCATCCTTGCTTCAGGTACGTCCCTCTGCCACCCACACTCACCCTTTACGACACGCGGGCATCACCTGGTACGAAGAAGGCGCTGAGTGCAGAGATGTGACTCGACACACATTTTAAAAAATCTGGATGGCGGGCCATGTGCTTGGCATGCAGGAGGCCCTGAGTTCGATTCCCAGCACCCTGCACCCCCAACCAAAAATGGCTCTAGGAAGCGACGGTGCTGACTGCTGCCCATCTGCCCTCGGGAGCCACGCGTCTTTCCGCCCCGTTACCCCCGGCCCCTGGATGCAGGCTGGGCCTGACCAATGCACTGGGCTGCCACCACTCCAGCTTTGCCCAGTCCTGGGCCCAAGCCTGCTCCCTCGGTGGCCCCTGAGCCTGAGGCCCCCGGGCCCCCGAGGCCAGCACCGGGGGCTCCCAGCCCTTCCGGGTCTCCCTGACCTCGGCACCCACAGCCCCTTCCTCAGTTTCTTCAGTGCTGAGAGTGGGTGAGCCCTCCACTTCCGGCCGTGGTCGAGTCAGGGCCGCACCTCGCAGTGGCACAAAATGTAGGTGTGGGGAGGGTTTCCCCCACCAGCAGGAGTGATTTATGGGCTACAACTTTATAATGAAAAGTAGGCCCCCATCTGCTGAAAAATCTAAGCCTGTCTTAGATTTTTACCGTCTGGAGTAGGGGTGGGAATAACCAATTTCCTCAAAAGTAAGGCACCCCAAAGCCTTGCAGTCATAAACTTATAAAGAATAAATATAGGACAAGAGGACCTCAGACCTAAAAACTTTAGTTTAATAAACCACAGACGATTTGTTTACCTATCATCACTGCCCTTAGGGGCTGGGGGAGGGGTCACTTAAAATAACAAGTAAAATAAAAGGGCCAGATACTGTTAGGTAACTTAGAATAGGACAGAGGCAACAACCGAAAACAAAACCACAAACGCTAAAAATCCAAACCATCTACTTGCAACTGAACTTACATACAAGGGGGTGGGGGCTGTTACCTCGCCTCTGGCTCCTGCCCTGCAGACCTGGGGGGAAGCGGATCCTGGCACAGCGATCACAAAAACAAATGGGACTGTACTTTATTGTCAGACTTTCCCACACCGCCTGGCGTCTCCCAGGCTCTCCGTGACCAAATGCAGGAGGAAGACGTGCTCCGAAGAGGTGTCCACCTAAGCCACGCGTGCGCAATGAAAGACAAGTAAGAGCAGAACAGCAATTCCACCCCCACGAACGGCTCCTGAGTCGCGGCGGCACCAAAGGAAACAGGGGCTCAGTGAAAGACGAGCAGCAGGCGACCCACGTCAGCCACACTGGCGTCTTCCTTGGGCCACCATCGCCTCCACCTCAGTCCTGGTTCAGCCCAGACTTCTGCTCGGGCTTCAAGTCCAGGCCCTGGGGCAGGAAGCGCTTGAGGCCTGCAGCTGCTTCCCAAGGCGCCTTCCTGGGCTCCTCCACCCCGCAGCATCCCTCGAGGCGGGCCTTCTCTCTCCCAGATTCCTGGATTTCCACATTTTCCATGTTTACTTTGAAGGGCACCTGACTGCTAAGCAAGCACTGTCTTGGCTAGTGGGATACCACTTCTGGACAACTTTACAACCATGTTTGTTTCCCTGGATGATATTCACGTTGTCTTATCACCTCCGGAAGCCGGCTCTCCACTCCTTTGTAGCTAAGAAAATTTGTTGGTAAAATACTGTCTTTATTTTGAAAGCAGCCTTAAATCAATATGGAGATCAGTGAAACACACTGCACTGAGTTATCCGGCAACGTTCCAAGCAGGAGAATGTGCTGGTTAATCCAGGGGCAAACACGAGATTCAGGCTTTTTGCTTCAGTGACATACGGAACAAATGGGTCTGGTGACAGTGACGTTCCTGCTCTTCCTCTGTCGTGCTTTTTCGTGGGGCTCCTGAGTGGGGGGAACCATGGGCTTCCGGGGTTGGCCTGGGCAGCGCCACCTGGCCCGACACGGCACTGTGGGCCTCGGGTCACAACCCCTCTAGCTCTCCACTCGCTTCTTCCAGGGTGCCCCTTTGTCCCGCCCTGGCCTTGCCCTGCACGCAGGCAGCCAGTCCCTGGGCTCACACCTGCAAGTGGTGTGCTGTCTCCTCCCTTCCCTCTCCTCACACCCGGCTTCTTTTAACCACCCGAGCTGCTTTCTGGGTGCTGCCCTCGGGCGGCTTCAGGTTCCAGGTTTCAGGGCACTGGTTTTCCCAGGGCCGGCCGCTCTGTCCTGCCGACGTCCCGTCTGACGAGGAGCCTGACTGCGCTGCCGCAGGGCCTGGGCCTCGCTGTCGGTGCTGCCCATTCCACGCAGACTGGGCCTCTATTTGGGCTGAGCTGTGGGGGGTCCTAAAGCTACCATTCACTTGCCAGTCACAGTGTCCCGCAGCCAAGGGGCCTCAAGGGGAGAGGCGATCTTTCCGCCCCTTCCAGGAGCTGAGGTCCCACCGCAGCCTGGCTGTAGTGGGTGAGTCAGCACTGTCTCCGGCTGCCAATGACAAGGGCATAAATCAGCGGCTCCGCGGCTCCCACATCGTGCACACTTCACTCCCATGGCAGCCTCTGTCTTCTTGCTAATAATGACCCACAGAACGAGATGTGCTTACACAAAAGAGGTGAGATCACCATGTCAGGCAGAGGTCTTTATGTTCATGCTGATGGCTGGAGATGTTCTGGCTTGGGGAGGATGAGGGCAGATGCCTTTCACACTGGAACGGAACATTTAGCAGGCGGCACTTGTTTGGAAAACGGCCCCCGGCCTGCTGCGGGTGCTCTGCACAAACCCCTTCCCCCGAGTTCACCCACACAGCTGATGGCAGAACTGAGTTTAAGGGCTGATGCTACCCTTTCTCAAGGAATAAAACCATGAGGATGTTGACGCTGTTGTACAAGGAACTGTATCAGTGTTTGGAAGAACTGCGTGACTCAGAGAACTAATATTCTGCAAATGGCCAGGTGCATGACGGGAGCCAGGTGTGGTGATGTACGCCTGTGACCCAGCATTCAGGAGGCTGCTGCAGGATCTCCGTGAGTTTAAGGCCAGGCTGGGCTGCTCTTAAGTTCAAGGCCAGCCTGAACTACGTAGCAGACCCTGTCTCAAAACACAAAATGAAACAGATAAACAAAAAGCCAAAAAAATCCCAGTGCACGACACTGAAAACTATGCATGGGAAAAAAACCCTAAAGTATGCGAGAGACCAATACACTGATACAACAGGAAGTTCACTGATGCGCTTTGGAGTCAATATTTCCAAGTAACCCTTCAGAAACTGCCACTTAAAGCTGGGCTTGATTGCGTGATTCACAGCTGCAATCCCAGCACTCGGGAGGCTGGGGCAGGAGCATCATTGTGAGTTAAAGACCAGCCCGGGCTACAAAGTGAGCTCATCGCCAGCCTGAACTGCATTAGTCCACTGACTGGTTTGGCTGATAGTTCTGGAAGTGGATAATGGGAAGGACCATCTTGGGTGTGAGTGCTGCCTGCCCTAAAGGTGGGTACCCTGGAAAGGACGTAAGGGACAGAAAGAGGGATGTTGTTTGCTGCTTGCTGCCTTCTGCGTGCCCTGCTTTGCCATGGACTGTTTCTCCTCTGTGATTCCCCTCTGCCATGCCACCCTGCCTCGGAGCCAGCCAACTACGGACTGAACCTCTGCACACTGTGACCTAAATCTTCCCTCCTTTAACTTTGGGTGTCTGGTATTTTGTCTCAGCAATGAGAAAAGTAACTAAGACATTTACCTTTATGATTTTAGTAAAATAGACCTAAACCCTGAACTGCACCAGTCACTCTCTATTATAAAAGATGAAGACTCCTCCCATGCTTGCTTCTACTTCTCCCTTCTTTTACCTCTTGATTGACGATGTTATTTTTATATTGCTAAGGGTTAAGACATTTTTGTTCTATTCTGAACGCCAAGTTGAGCTTTCTGCATTTGTCTTCATAATGGTTAACTCTCCACTGGGCTCACGGCTGCATGGCCTGAGGCCTGGCTTGGGGAAGGACACCGCGGGGTGCCTTGACGGGTGAACCTTTTCTCGGGCTCCTCCCCTCTCACTTGGCTTGCTGGTTGCCATGAGGTGAGCACTGTCCTCCGCCAGGCCCTTCTGCCACGATGTTCCTGCTCTGGAGCCAGTCCACCATGGACTGAACCCTCTGAAACCGTGAGCTAGAATACACCTACGTCAGGTATTTGGTCCCCGAGACAAAAGGCTGATCAAGACAGCCACCTAGTGGGACATGACAAACGTGTTCTACACCCACGCTGTCCCATACTCAGCAGCAGCTACTAGCAGTTCAGCTGTTGAACGCTTGGAATGTGACTAGTGTGCCTGAAAACCTGACTTTTCCATTATGTTGAAGTTAAATTTTAACCGGCACAGGTGCAGGGGCTGCCACGCTGGATGGTGCAGCTCGAGGCCTCACTGGGACACTCCTTCCCCACTCGCATCACCCCAGGTTTCTCTGCTGTGACCGAGCCCCTGCCGCAAGCAGCACGTCCCTTACCCAGGAGACTGCTCCGCACAGGTTTGGGGTACCGACAGTCGGTTTTTGTTTTGTTTTGCACAGTGCTGAGAATCAGAGCCTGGGGGCCTTGAACATGCTAAGCACGCATTCTGCACTGAGCTACACCCTCAGCCTGACAACTGTTCCCAGTTCTCCCAAGAGCCCTGCAAGGAAGATGTTCCCACCTTGGGCAATGGGCGAGAAGCCAGGTTTCCCGGAGGTTCTGTTACCAGCTGGTCCCGCTGCTGTGAGAGGGGCAGGGTGCAGGTCCGAGAAGCCCGAGCATTTCCTGTGTTCTGTCCTTGACCTCATTACGGCACGGGGCACTGTCATGTGCTGGGAATGGAACGCAAGGGCACCAGAAGCCCAGACCCTACAGGCTGTAAACTGAGGCAGGCTGCAGTTACTTTCTGTGTCTGCTGCGACTGATTTCATAGACTTGTGGGGGTGCTCACTTTCACAGCTACCGGGAGAACCGGCTTCTTTCTTCCTTATGCTAACAAGGATGCATTCTAAGGAGATGGAGAAGTACACAGTGTTTTAAACATGCAGCTAATGTGAACTTACCTCCTTTTGATAGGCCAGTCCGGCTTCATAGAGTTTAATGAACAGGTACTGGGTCCATCTGTAGTAATCTGGCAAACACGTAGTGATCTCCTGCAAAGAGGGGACAGCGTCACCTATGGGTCACTGTGAGCGCCCGCCGCAGCGTGTGCACCAGCCTTGCTGTTTGTTTCTGGAAAGCAGTCAGACCTCAGGCACACTCACCAACCTGTAGTATGTTCAACAATTCAGAAAGGGCAGGGAGCAGCCCCTCATTTTGGGGGACAGCTGTTCCCGACACGCTCCCGCCCATTCAGGGACGTCTAAAGATAAGAAACCCAGCTTCAAGTCTTGCGTGCATTCCCTGCCCCCGCCCGGGGACGAACAGGTGGACTGCTCTGTGGGGAAACGGGCCTTAACACCGCGGTCAGCGTGAGCATATGCGGGGCCCAGGAGGCAGCTCACGTGGAAAACAGTCACGGAGGGCAAGAGGAACGTTCGCTTTGACGCGCTCCTCACTGCAAAATGAACCCTGTGTTTCTGTGACGCTGGGACGGTGGCTCCAGTGACAGATTCCTCCCTCACGTGCATCTGCTGTTGTCCCCTCAGGGAGGTCAATGAAAAACAGTATCAAATAGTGAGAAACCACCCCACGTGGGTTTCCAACGCTGAGTCCAAGGTTTCCAAAGCTTATTTCTGTACTCATAATGCAGCTGCTACAGAAGTTTTAGAAACCAGCCTTTGTCTTTCTGGTGCAGGGGACCAGGCCCAGGGCCTCGCGCGGACTAGACAGGCATTAAGCCCCGCGCTCCACCTCGGCCCCGATGGCCCGCTGTGTGCTGGTCTGATGCACCGAGAGTTTGCCATTGCCATTTAATTAGGCATAAGAACCTCGATGCCGTCACCTGTTTCTTTCCTGGTGCTCTTTAACTTCAGAAGCTGACAGAAATGGAGAAGCCCTCGGTAGGGCTGAGGGGTGAACTTGCCTAGCATGCAGGAGGCCTTGGGTTTGAAGCCCAGCACCGCAAAACCAAACCAAACCAAAACACAAAAAAGCAAACTAGAAATGGGTAAAGGGAGGGGATGTTTCCAATGGTTCCATTTGTAATGGATTTTGTTTCTTTTTGTCGTTTTGAGACAGGGTCTCGCTAAGCAGTTCAGGCGGGTCTTGAACTCACTTTGTAGCCCAGGCTGGTCTCAAACTCACAACGATCCTCCTGCCTCAGCCTCCTGAGTGCTGGGATTACAGGGGTGTGCCAATGGAATTTTGATAAAAGGTATACATCTATCAAAAGTGCACTCATATCTTTCTTAAAATAGAAAATAAGAGCTGGGCGTGGTGGTGCAGGCCTGTGATCCCAGCACTTGGGAGGCTGAGACAGAAGGACTGCCATGAGTTTGAGGTCAGCCTGGGCTACATAAGTGAGTTCAAGACCAGTCTGGCCTACATAGTGAGACCCTGCTCCAAAAAAAAAAAAAAAAAAAGGAAGAAAGAAGGAAAGAAAGAAAGAAAATGAAGAGAGTTTCAAATCCAGGATTTAGGACAAGCGTTACAGAAAACAAGCAAGGGGCAACTCTGGTCCCTGGCTCTCCTCCACTGTAAGGCAGCGGTGAAAGAGCAGCTGCCGAGTGGCGGTGCCTACCCGGCTGGCACCGGGTGCCAGCTCCCAGCGGCACTGGGCACTGAGCGCTTCATCAACTCAAGACTAGACCAGCACACAGCAGGCCGCCAGCTCCCCGACCTCCAAGTTCATCCTGCTGTCACGGTCCAGATTTGTTTTTGTCAACTTTCTACGCAACTTAAAAATTTCATTTTTAATAAAAGCCAGGGTTGTGACAGGGCACGAGGTCGAGGGGTGGGGTGAGGTGTGGGAAACACCCCCAGACCGAATTTTCCCACCCCCAGGCCCTGTTATTGTGGCTGTATCTTTTTTCAAACTTTATGAAACATTTAAAGAAATATACAAAGCAAATATAAGAAAATAATGACATTCGTTAAACCTAGGGGATGAGGTCATTATCCTCCTTCTTTTTCCGTATATTTGAGTTGTTTATAACAAAACAGTAAAATAAGCCAAGTGTGGTGGCACACATATGCTTATACCTCAGCACTTTGGCAGACTCAGGTGGGAAGAGCTGAAATTTGATCCCTGTTTGGGCACTTAGGGAGACTGTGTCTCAAAATTTAAAAGAAAAAAAAATTTTACAACATATTTATACATATATATTTTATTATATATATATGTATGCATATTACAAAGGGCTGGGGATATGTGTCAGTGTGAAGGTCTTGGGTTAATCCCTAATACCACCAAAGTATACATATCTTTCATGAATATATGCGTGTATCTCATAATGAATATGCATGTATTTTCTAAGCCCCTGAATCTGCTTCCACAGACTGAGAGTGAAAGTTAAACAGCAATGAAACAGCATTGTCTTCAACTAAGTTTACGGTTTTGTTTTGTTTTTATTTTTGAGACAGGGTCTCACTATGGAACTCACAGCGATCTCCTGCCTCAGCCTCCTGACTACCTGGATTATAGGCATGCACCACCAAGCCTGGCTAGGCTTCCGCTTTTGAAAGTTAGTATTACATAATGTACAACAGAGGACTGACAGGAAAAGCCTTCATTGGCCACATCAGCCTGCCTTGGCCAGCCTGAGATAGACAGTACCACACCATGGGGTCAGCTCCCAGGACGGCAGGAGGGGGGACCTCAGGCTGTTCTCCCCCCCTTGGGGATGGGCCGGACTCACTGCCCGGTCTAAGGGCCCAGGAACGCCCGGCCACACAGAGATACTAGAGTGATGCCCACAAAACTCACTGAGCCCAGGGTTGCCAGAACCTTCTGGAACCCTCCCTGACTTGTTCATACAACCCAGCCAAACAAAACCAGCTATCTCTAGTCCTCTAACGCTTTATCTCAATCTAAATCATCAAAGCCATCTTCTGGAAATTAAACTGCTTAAAAGCTTTTTTTAGCAATTGGCCAGAAATCAAGGCCTTCTTTTCACATTTTCCCTGGGACCTGCTCACTCAGAACCCAGATGCACATGGAGATGTCCACAGTCCTCTCCCCCACTCTGTAAAGCAGGGGTTCTCACCCCGGAAGATTCCACTCCCTAGGGAACATCCAGCAGTGACAGGAAATCTGTCTCTGCCATAGCTTTGCCCCTGTTTGTGTGCGCGTTACTGGCACCTGATGGGTAAGGGGCCCGGAGGCTGAAAAAAACCTGTAATGCGCAAGTCAGCACTCAGAACATAAAGTTATTCAGCCCCCAATATTACCAGTGCCAAGGTGGGGGAAGCCTCACCTAAGGTTTTAAACGATTATAGCTTGAGTCTGAAAACACAGGCAGATTAGAGAATTAATTGGAGAACTCTTTGTATAAAGCTACAAAATGGATCAAATGTCAATAGGCAAAAGTAGAAACACAGAACGAGGTAACCTGGTACACTCCTCCATCTGACGCGCCCCACCTCTACGTCTAGAACCTGCAAGGCACCTGGGAACCCCACTGGTGTTTCAGTTCAGGCCCAATGTGTCCCCCAGATTCTCAAGTGTGTGGAGGCTGCCTGGATTGTGAGGTGCTATACTCATCCGTGGACCATCCATTACGGACTGTGGAAGCTGAAAGTGCTGTTAGGAGGTGTGGCCTGTTTGGAAGAGGTGGTCACTGGGGCGTGCCCTGAACGGGTTTATCTCCCTCCCCAGCTCCTCCCTTCACCCTCGCTTCCTGGCCGCCACTGTGTGAGCCGTTCTCCTCCTGGGGACCCTTCACCTTGGAGCGGCTGACCATGGACTGAACTCTCTAAAAACCATAAACCAAAATAAAGCTCTCCTCCTTTGATCTGTGGGTAAAGGAACTAGGGTAACCACCACCCCTTCTAGGAGAGACAGACAGGTCAGGGGACATTGAGAAGCGCTGTCTCCCATAACCAGTGACTGATCTCCCCATCTAAGTGTTCAGTCATTAAACGCTGCCAAGAGTGGTCTGGCTTGGAAAATCTCACATGAATTTATGTAACAAACTTTCTATTTTGAAGCTAGAGAGGCACACAGTTTTCCTTCACACAGCATCAGTTTATCCCTCCCATGAAACAGTTGTTAAGCAAGTAACTGTTTAGAGATCACCCACAGGAATCGGGCCCACGGCACCCACACGTCCAGAGCAGTGCTTCCCGCACCCCCCGGGGTGAGCCCGATGTCTGGGCTGGGGCTCCCTGGCACCCACATCTGCCCACATGCCACGGGGCAGCCCCAACGTGGCGAGACTTCTTGGTGAGACCACCAGAAAAGACAGAGGCTCGTGTTTCAGAATCTTCCCATTCTTGGACACTTTCTCTGCTTTCAAACGAGTCCACAGTTTTTAATACAAAAAGTCCGGTAATTCAAGCTTACAGTTCTCAAAGCAACTGCAGTTCAGCCACGCTCTACATACATCTACATCAAGGTGTCAACTTTTATCTCCTCCTGAGCTCTGGAGAGCACAACCCAGCTGCCGAGATGCCAGATTTATGGGCCTGGAATGTCAACTAGAACGATTCCTCCATGTGGCAGTTCTATACCCCATGATACCTGGGTCTGGCACAAATGTATTTGCACGGCTAGAGGTAAACCCAGAGCCCAGGAGGTGAGCTCTCTCAGAGCACAGGGTGGCTCGAGGCACCCTTTCTGGACCGTGCCCCCCACCCCTCAATGCCCTGCACAGTTTAGAATCCACGCTTCCTGGCCGGCTGGTGGCTCCTGTGGCACAGAGATTTGGCAGTGACAGAGTCCAAGAGGCTGAGCCAGGGCCACCTTAGCGCGGACATCAAATGACATTTGCTGTGAGAGGAAGGCTCACTGGGCCAGCCCCCGTCCAAGCCCCCCAAGCGGGTCTCCGCAGAGTCGGCTTTGGAGCCATGCCACAATTCCCTACTTAGAAACGGGGTGCGGTGAGGACAGACAGGCTGTGTGAAGCACAGGCTGGCACAGGTGCTCTGCCCCATGGCATGATCAGTGTGAGACCAGGGAGTGGCCGGCTCACCACACTTCTCACAGGATGGGCTCTTGGGGCGAGGGCCAGGGACAGCAGAGGGCTGGGCACAGTCCATTGTCACGTTCCCA